TAATGTAACGCGTCACTATTTGTAATATATATTGTTAACATCGCGCTGAAGAAGGATCAAAAGATGATCCGAAACGTTCGCTTTTTGTTATTATAATATGTTTGTTATTATAATATGTTTTCAATAATAAATATTGAAAAAAGAAAGAAGTGTTACTTCTCTGCGCTCCAATTACCGCGCATTGGCTCTTATGCCATTTTCTTTTTGATTTTTTGATAATTTGTGCCAAGTTTCTAATTATTAAAAATGATTGTATTAACAAGACGTATATGATTGAAGGCATTTTGGTTAAATCCAACAAGAATTTCTAATTATCATGATAAGACTCGATTTTTTATAACTAGAACGTTTCATAGATTTTACACAAGGATTTGGTTAGTATTTTCTGATTGGATCTATCAAATTTCTTGTTACATTAATTTCTTTGCTTGCTTCTTAACTTAACTCGTATTCAATATTTGCCATGAAATGTACACAGTAAAAAATGTTGTGTTAAATTTAACATATTTCACATGTCCCAATTTATCCACTCTAATTTTAATGTTAATTTAACAGAAAGCAAATATGTAAATAAATAACACAAGTAATATGTTTAAAAATTAACACAAAAGTGTAACACTTAAACTTTATCTGGAAATAAAGTTTATGTTAAATTAACATATTTATAATGTTAAATTTAATTAAAAGAAAATGTTATTTTTACGTTTTTATGATAAATAACAGAAGAAATATGTCGATTTCGAACATATGTTATAGAGAAACTGTTATAGAGAGAAAAATAACACAATTTTTCTGTTCATTTTAACATATAACATATTTCATCAAAAATTCGTGCATTTACATATTAATTATGTTGTTTTAACTCTTAAAACTTAATGGCGAATATTAACTCAACGCAGAGATGTCAAAATAACGCAACGATAATATGTTACATTAACATAAGAATATGTTAAAAATTTAACACAAAAATTTTTACACGAGAAAATTTTAACAGAAATGCAAAATGTTTTTTACCGTGTATATAAAGAACTAGTATTAACATTAAATCCAAAGTATATTTTTTTTCTTACGAGCGGTAGTGCCAGAAAGAGGACGCTAGCTCTCTGAGTGTGTTTGAACTGCATCCTCTTCTTGCATCACTGTTTATCAGTTTAATTTCTAACAAACTGAATTTAAAATAATTTACTCAATAATCTGGATTGAATTTATCCAAGAATCTTGTTGGAATTCAGAATATTAAACGGACTTTTGAGATTAGATGGAAAAAATTTTAGATGACTTGGTGCTGGCGAGTTTAGTATTATTAACCAGAAAATTTGATAAATTTAACAGGGAGAAATTAATCAGATTCATCTGGTAATTCCTACAAGAATTCTGATTCGTCCATTTTCCAACAGACATACTGGTTGAATCTACAGAATTCTAATTAATGCAACCAGACTTTTTTCTCAGTGTATAAAAATATATTTACGCGATACCGCTCGCAAGCCACGTTGATCATCACGCTGTGAAATTTATGATTGGCAAAGGGCACATTCCCGGATGCACGATGGTTTCTTCGCCGAGTCATGGATTCGTATAATGAAATGCGTTCCAAGCCGGGATCCACACGGAGAGATCATTCGCGAGCATGCTTGGCATTTACCTCGGGCGGTGACGATGGTGCAATAATCACGTGTGCGAAGAGTTGCGCGCCCAAAATGCCAAGCGAGCCCTTGCCCTCTCTTTCTCTTTCTTTCTTTTACTCTGACATTTAAAAAAAAAAATATTCACACGAATATTCAACCGAATATTACGGCCCGCGGGTGATTATGGCATTGTATCAAGAGGCGGCGTCGCCGCTTTCGAGACACGATTGTGTCACGATATTGCGATATTTCGATATATTCGGTCTATTATTAAGCGCCGATCGCGACAACTCGGCCAACAAACGAGACTGCATCCACGATCGTTTCACTTTCGACCGCAGATGCACCACAACTCGGTGCAGCTCGACGATGAATCTGTTTTGCGTTTAAAATAATATCGCAAAAGCGAATGCAAAATCGACGATATGGCGGAATATTTATTCGCTTCATTTCGCGGCGTTATGTAAAAATCTTAGGTCATCGTAGAAAGCGGCTTGCAGGCAGATTTTCGCGACTGTCGATCGATATAAACAAATATTACATAAAATGATCGTTAGCGATAATACATTGATAGCATCGCTCGCACGACTTTCCACTAGTTACGTTGAAAAACACCTAGTTTTCGATAAAATAGAAAAGAAGGAAATGCGTTCACGATATAATCCCGATTGTAAAAATCCAAGGATAATTTCGAAATCACAATGTTTCGCGCCAATTAAGAGGCAGTTAAGCTTAAGGACCCTCGACTTCCCTCTCGAGGAAGCGATCTTTGCGGCTTAAAGCCGATCAACCAGGAAGTATTTAAGAAACTCGCGATGAGAAAGACAGGTATCTTCATCATTTTTCCGACCGCGTCCGCAATCTCGACATTTTAATCGTATCTTTGAGGGAGTTCAGTTCTCTCGCGATCAATTTTTCCTTCATTTCTTCATCTCGTTTATCGAAACGCCGATCTATGGAAGGAGGGTCGTTATTCTCGCGACCTTGACAAACTTACGTCATCGCTGTCTCTCGTCACTTTCTCATTTTGTCGGCGTAAACCCGCCCAAAATGTCAACGATGCACGTATAATCGTATACAAAAATCCATAAATTAGCCTTGTTTCATTCTCGTTCGAGGAAGAAATTTCAAATTTAACGCGCAATATTTTACAGAGAAATTGAAATATTAATCGTCGCTGTCAATAAAATTACCCGGATTGCCCATCCTTCGCTGGCTTTATTAATTTTACAATATTTCGCGCGTAATCGATTACGTACATGAACTGCTGTTTCAAAGGCATATATTCTATGTAGCAATTATTTTATCATTCCTGTTTCTATATCGTTTACCGTAAATTTTCGCATCGTTGAGCGCAATTTATGTATCTTCAATTAATGGCGATGAAGATAAAATCGACGATAACATATCGTATATGAGAATTTTATGTGAGCGTTTAATCACTTAGAATTGAGAAATAAATTGCCATAAATACTTCTCTTTAAGTTTCCTAGGTCGAGGTCATACGAACTTACCACACCGACATACTAAAAGAATAGCTATACCTTGTACTTTCCTACCACTGAGAAAGTATTGACAGGTTGTTCTTCGTATCACTTCTTATAAGCGAACGATTAATGATAGTCGTAGATCAAAATATCCTCAAGGAGATATCTAGAAATTCATGCAGCTTTCGTAGATGAATTTTACATGATGCTGCATAGACTTGTATCTTGTTCTGTCGCTACAAATTTATACTTGTATACAACGAGTTGGATTTTTAAAAATTATTTTATCATGTCATTTCGAATGCATTATCTAAAGATAATTATTATCTTCGAAGCAACTGATATATTCATATTAAATGTCAAGATCAATAGCGATTCAAGGAATTTGATAGAGTACTCTTCAGCAAGAATTGAGAATTTGCATTTATCCCGGCGATAATAATACACTGAGAAAAAAATCTGCTTGCATTAATTAGAATTCTTGTAGGAATTACTAGATGAATCTGATTAATTTCTCCCTGTTAAATTTATCAAATTTTCTGGTTAATAATACTAAACTCGCCAGCACCAAGTCATCCATAATAAAATTTTTTCCATCTAATCTCAAAAGTCTGTTTAATATTCTGAATTCCAACACGATTATTGCATAAATTCAATTCAGATTATTGAATAAATTATTTTAAGTTCAATTTTTTAGAAATTAAACTGATAAACAGTGATGCAAGAAGAGGATGCAGTTCAAACACACACACTCAGAGGGCTAGCGTCCTCTTTCTGGCATTACTGCTCGTAAGAGAAAAAAATATACTTTGGATTTAATGTTAATACTAGTTCTTTATATACATTTCATGACAAATATTGAATACGAGTTAAGTTAAGAAGCAAGCAAAGAAATTAATGTAACAAGAAATTTTATAGATCCAACCAAAAAATGCTAATCAAATCTTTATAGTAAAATCTATTAAACGTTCTAGTTATAAAAAATCGAGTCTTATCATGATAACTAGAAATTTTTGTTTGATTTAACCTTCAATCATATACGTCTTGTTGGTACAATCAAACGATTTTTCTCAGTGTATAATTGCAATATATTATTATATTAAAATATATTGATAAATTATATTGAAAATAAATATTGATAAATTATATTAAAATATATTGCAATTTATATTAAATTTATATTAAATTTTTTTTCAAACAAAGCCACACATACAGTTGAAAGATCCTTACATCATCAAATTTCCTTAAAGCAGCAAAGAAATAAATGTTCTAGTTATAAAAAATCGAATCTTATCATGATAACTGAAAATTCTTATTTGATTTAATCAAAATGCCTTCAATCATATACGTCTTGTTGATACAATCAAACGATTTTCTCAGTATACAATTGCAATAATAATTATTATATTAAAATATATTGATAAATTATATTGAAAATAAATATTGATAAATTATATTAAAATATATTGCAATTCATATTAAATTTATATTAAAATTTTTTTCAAACAAAGCCACACATACAGTTGAAAGATCCTTACATTCTCAAATTTCCTTAAAGCAGCAAAGAAATAAATGTTCTAGTTATAAGAAATCGAATCTTATCATGATAACTATAAATTCTTGTTTGATTTAATCAAAATATCTTCAATCATATACGTCTTGGTACAATCAAACGATTTTTCTCAGTGCACTTATCCCGGCGACAATAATAAATTTCGAGTTCTCGCTGCATCTCGGAAAATCGCCGATTTCGACTCGTACGTACCTGGATCGGTGGCACCGTCTATGTGAACAGCAAATGCTCGAAGATGAGAAAGAGGGGACCCGATCGCAGTAGGGACCACGTCGTCGTGGTGGTGGCAATATAAGGCCCAACGGGTGGCAAGCCTCAGCCAGTCCGTTGAACGGTATCTACACCTTCAAGGTCCGCGTCCTTGAAGGCGTCCTCGATTTTTTTGTCGTCCCGTGTGTCATTAAAGGATCGCTGCCGAGATTTCTAGCTGGATCTTCCTTTGCACCCGACTCCCTCCTTTGCATTTTCCCTGCTTCAAAAATTACGGACGGACGCATCGCCATTTTACGATCAAGTACTCTTTCAACCCTCGCTGATCGACAGCGTCGGGCAAACATCAGTTGAGCGGAAGTGATTGAGGGGGTGAGATTTAGGTGCAAGACGAAAAATAAGAAGACGACGACGACGTCGAGGAGAAGAAATCATATCCCCCGAGGATCAGCATGAGGTCCTCGCTGGTGCTGCTCCTGGTAGCAGCTTTTGTCCTTGCCGGTGAGTGCCAGATTTCTCTACCAGCTCTTTCGCTGGCCGATGCCAAGGTATCGCTTCACACGTCAGGAAACCATATATCGAATTTCTTGCATGGCGGAACGCGTGAGAGTTTTACAAGTCTTTCCGGTCATATAACGCGTGGGAGACAATTTTTCTCACGAAGCTTACCAACAACCGTTCGACTTGAACTGATTTTTTTCCACCGATCAAGCGCACCGATTCTTTTTGCGCCTTTTGTATTATTTTTTATATTAATTTCTGAATCGCGTTGAACCCGACCTGCGATATAATGTGTAATCTTGAAGGAAAATGCCGATAAGAAATTCTCTTGATTACTTACATACTAATTAATTATACCTATTTATGTTAAATTATTAAATTATATTAAGTAAATATATAAATATATTGATACATAAATTATGTATCAAAATTAATTAGAAATTATCTATTTAAATTACAAATACATTTTCGATACTTTTTGATGAATAAAGAAATATCTTTGAAATATTGAAGAAGAAAAATGTTAATTAAATGCAAAGATTATACCAGATGCAAATTAATTGAGAGAATTATTTCAAATATATCACAGATGGACACGTGTGAGATCGTGCATAGTGACAGTCATTCAAAATGGCGAAAGTACCACTGCAATCTGGTCATTTGAGATTTCTTCTTTCTATTCCGGTATCTTTGATCGTGAGATTAGTTGTTCTGTTTTTTTTGTTTTTACATAAACGAGCGATATTTACGACAACAAGAAAAATAATCTAATAGTCGATCGTCGGGACGACAAGTTGCATAAGAGATTAGAGCGTGAAAGCTTCTCGGTCTGGTCGGTCCCGGATAGGTGACGTCACTGCCGTGCCCCGGTCTGGAAATAGCGCGGGTGGGGGTACAACTTTCCCCGTTTGTCGTTCCACCATGAAATCGTCTCGCAAGCCCGGGGGACCAAATGTTTATCCGATATTATTAATGACTATTTCGATATAGACTGCAGATAAGAATTCAACAAGCGCCTTTAAAAATCAAGCTTTATGAGATTAAGATATTAATTTAGAATATTCTTTATTAATAAATTAATTAATTGATAAAATCGTTAAACATAAATCTCGTCCTTTGTCTTTCATTATTTTTGTTTAATATAAAATCTTGTAAAAAATTAATTTTTTTTGTAAAAAATCGAGCTTTATGAGATTGAGATATTAATTTAGAATATTCTTTATTAATAAATTAATTAATTGATAAAATCATTAAACATAAATTTCGTCCCTTTTCTTTCATTATTTTTGTTTAATGTAAAATCTTGTAAAAAATTAAATTTTTTTAACAAACTTGTTAGCGCACGATTACAAATTATTCAAGCACTATATAAATCTTATAAAAATATGATCCTTATGTTAGTCCTGATTTTCAATTTTATTAACCACAATCGTAAGTTTAAAGAAATGTCAGATTATATCAATCTCTGTGGTACAAAGTTTTTATCACTCTAAACCACTCTCGTTTCGAACGATGCAGACATGTAAATTGTATAGAAATTACGATAGTAATAACTCGAGTATGGTTACTTTAATCGCTTTGAAAATTTCGAATAAGATTGATAATGTCATCTGCAATAAGACATTTCTGATCGTTTCGTAAAAAAACAAACCAAGTAATATATAATAAATTGATATTTAGCTTATCAAGAAAAATCCAATCAATGTTTCGACTTCAAACAAAGCAAATATTCTTATTTCTCGTAATAATATAATTAAAAAGTGCTACTGCAATTGTTTAGAAATAATCATAAATATTATAAAACGGTAGATTTTTATCATAATATGGCCCCTTCTCCAAATTTATTTTCTAGAACACATTTCTAAGAATTGAGAAATATTGCCGAATTATTTGAATAATTATTTCTAGAAGAGACGAAATCTTTGTCACGTCACAGATTCCACTATTTCACTTTTTAGAGGGCTCGACTCGAGTTAAGCGACAAGAAGAGAAGAAGGAGGAGAGTTTTGAAAATGAGATCTGCAAGGATAAAGATGCCGGCGAGTGGTTCAGATTGGTCGCCGGCGAGGGTGACAATTGCCGCGACGTCATTCAATGTACGAGTTCCGGTCTACAGGCGATAAGATGCCCGGCCGGCCTGTACTTTGACATCGACAAGCAGACGTGCGATTGGAAGGACTCTGTCAACAATTGTAAACTAAAGAACAAGGAGAGAAAGGCCAAGCCCCTGCTCTACACCGAGGAACCGCTTTGCCAAGACGGATTCCTCGCGTGCGGCGACGGATCTTGCATCGAGAGGGGCCTCTTCTGTAACGGCGAGAAGGATTGCACCGATGGCTCCGACGAGAATATTTGCGGTAAATTTACGCAAGTTTGCGCGAAAGCCTACCCTACTCCTGCAAAACAGAAATTCGTGCCGTTTAGAAAATGAGTAAATGTTGCAATTTGCAATTTTTCGCCATTTCAGACATGGACAACGATCCCAATAGAGCCCCTCCATGTGATCCCGCGGTGTGCGTTCTGCCCGATTGCTTCTGCTCGGAGGACGGCACCACGATTCCCGGCGATCTCCCGGGTAAGGACGTGCCGCAAATGGTCACGATTACCTTCGACGATGCCATCAACAACAATAACATCGGTCTCTACAAGGAAATCTTCAACGGCAAGCGCAAGAACCCGAATGGCTGCGACATCAAAGCCACGTTCTTCGTCTCCCATAAGTACACCAACTACTCCGCGGTCCAGGAGATGCACAGGAAGGGCCACGAAATCGCCGTCCACTCCATCTCGTAAGTATTAACTTCATTTATCCTAACATCCTCATTTTTCTCGCCATACTCCGAAAGCCATACTCCGCCCGAGATGATTACGGGACTCTCTCGAGCGCGAGGACCCAGGCAAACCATTCATAGAACTGGAAAACAGGTACACGAGCACAGGTTCCTGCGATGCATCGTCACGTCTCACGACCATAGTCATAATTGTTAAAAATCAGAACACGATCACTACATAAAATGTTTACATGACAACTTTGGGGCAAGGCATAATGACGACGAGCGCTTCTGGTCGGACGCGACCGTCGACGATTGGGCCAAGGAGATGGCCGGCATGAGGATCATCGCCGAGAAGTTTGCCAATCTGTCGGACAACAGCGTGGTGGGCGTGAGAGCACCGTATCTGCGGGTTGGAGGTAACAACCAGTTCACCATGATGGAGGAGCAAGCCTTCCTGTACGATTCCACCATCACTGCGGCCTTGAACAATCCCCCATTGTGGCCGTACACCATGTACTTCCGGATGCCGCACCGCTGCCACGGAAATCTTCAACACTGCCCTACTAGGTCAGTGCTATATATCATTTGGGTTGACAGTTTTCTCATATGAATATGTAGGTGGGATAATAAGTTTCAAATGATGCTCCAAAGATCGCACGCTGTGTGGGAAATGGTGATGAACGAATTGGATCGGCGTGAGGACCCGCAGAACGACGAGTACCTCCCTGGCTGCGCCATGGTGGATTCCTGCAGCAACATTCTGACCGGGGACCAGTTCTACAATTTCCTCAATCACAATTTCGACCGTCACTACGAGCAGAATCGCGCGCCCCTAGGCCTCTACTTCCACGCTGCCTGGCTGAAGAACAATCCGGAGTTTCTGGACGCCTTCCTTTACTGGATCGATGAGATCCTGCAGAGCCACACCGATGTCTACTTCGTGACGATGACTCAAGTGATTCAGTGGATTCAGAATCCGCGCACCGTCACCGAATCGAAGAACTTCGAGCCTTGGCGGGAGAAGTGCGTGGTGGAGGGTCCACCAGCGTGTTGGGTGCCTCATACCTGCAAGCTGACCTCCAAGGAGGTGCCCGGGGAGACCATTAATCTCCAGACTTGCGTGCGCTGCCCCAACAATTATCCTTGGGTGAACGATCCAACCGGTGATGGCTTCTTCTAAGCTGCCGAGGGCGCGATCCTCTTTCTCGTCCAAGTCAAGTCCCTCCTCTTCTTCCTTCCTCTCTGTTCTCGATCATGTAGGTTTTCTTTTCTCCAATTCTCGAGCTGAAGAATGCGTCACAAATCCTAGCGATTCAATGCGACGCTGGATATCCATCGAAGCATCAGTATCGTCGAAAATAACGATACTAGAAGGCACACCAGAGAGAAGAGAAAATATCGTCGTTGACCCGTTAGACTCTGGCAACTCCGCTCTAGTTGCCAATAATTTTGCTGTTTTATTGTTGAGAACAATGTATCTGTGATGATTAAGTTCGGTTCGGTTAAGAACTGGAACACCACGTCTAACGGATTGAAGACGAATAAAATGAAAGGAGGCCTTCTATCCACTTTGCATTCTCTTCGACGTTGACGTTCAACTTTATTTTTATCAGATTGAAAAATATTATTGAAAAAATTATTGTAAAAAAAGTTTCTCTTTTACGCGTACCTTATCAGCTGATAATTAAAATTAACATTCATACGCCAGCCAATCTGTGATAGACTCCCGAGAGAGACGGCGTTCCCGAAGACCTCGAGGCGACGATGACGATGACGACAACGAGATTCGCGCGCATTCCATTCGAAATCGGCATAAAAGCAAGCAAAACAAAATGTCGCCCCACCCGATCCCATGAGGAGAAATCGCGGATCCCCTTCGATGGCGGCGACTGGGCGATCCGCGAGTGGGATTCCGTGTGTAATATAATCTGTGTCCCCCTTCTCATTCTCTCTTTTCTTTCTCGCACCTCTGATTTCTCGGCCGATATCGATCTATCGGTGAATATGAGTCTTCCTTTAATCCTCCCCTCCCCCCCCCCCTCGACGGAAGTAATAAACGAAGGCCGCCAGATTAATTGTTCCCCGATTCGAAGTGTGCCCTTACTTTTTTAAGGGTTCCGCCGATCTATATGTATAAATTTATATACGGGGTGTCACTTAATTGGCGCCCACTATTTATTTAGCGATATTCCTCGTGGAAAACTGCGTCGAAAAGACCTGAACTATTTTTTTCTATAATGAAAAAAATTTTAAACCATTTCTTCTTTAATCCATTTTTTTCTTCTATAAAGCGAAAAACTTTATTTTGCATTAAAAATCATGTTTCTTCCGTTAAAAGCGTTTCCATAAAGAAAATTTCGTCGAGGAGGCCGAAGGTCAATGCTTATTGGCGCGCAACTTTACTCAATAATTACCGCTTTATTAAGCGTTATAGAAAAAAATGGACTTTTCGACTCAGTCTTCCACGAGGAATGTCGCTATATAAATAGTGGGCGCCAATTAAGTGACACCCTGCATATTTATATATATATGGAAATTAAATATTGTATATGTATATTTGTAAAAGTAAGTGATACTACCAACCTAGAGTTCCCTCGATGTGAACCTTTGAATAAAAAATTCTGAGAAATCTCACACACGAAGTGGTCTGTCTCCCTTCTTTCTTTTTCCCCTTGCACGCGCTCGTCGTATTATTCACTACGATCGTTCGATAATGGAATGGAAAGTGAAGTACGCTTAGACCTCGCAAACTTGACCGCCAAACCGGGTCAAGATTCGTTTCTAAAATGCAAGGCAAGTGAGAGGACGGACGTTCTTTATTCGTTCGTTAATTTTCTCGCTACTTTATTCGCGATCGATCGTAAGCACCTCGTAAAAATCAAAGACACCAGTTTCCGAGTGTTAATTGGGAATTAATAATGTGTGTCGGAAATCTCGTTCAAATCGCGATCTCGCCGATCTGTCTTCTTTCTCTCTCTCTCTCTCTCTCTCTCTCTCACAAAAAAAACGAAATTTTTTTTTCAGTCAATTTGCGTCCGTTCGATGTTAAATGTCCCGATATGAGATCGCAATGTGTGCCACACGTGTATACATACATCGCGAATACGAGAGACCGATTTATGCGATGACGAAAACCTCATTCCGGTTTCGTGGTTGCTCTGAAAATCTCGCTCGCGTGTCTCGGCTGCCATCCAGCCGCCGTCACGGCCTTGATCTGAATGCGATGATATCGATGACGCGAAGAATTAAGAGAGACCCGATCCTCCCACGCTTTAAGAAAACGCCCCAAGAAAGCACTCGGAATTTCGAGAGCGTCGGCGATAATCCGAGCGATCGTTTTTTCGATCCGATTGTATTGTCCTATCGATTATATTTACATATTCTTAACTGTCGGTCGTATTTCAGCATAATTAATTTTTCTTTGATTATTATTATTAGAATAATTTAATAATTTAATTATTATTAATAATTTAATAATTTAATTATAATATTATTATTTAGAATAATTTGCAAACAATAAACGTTGCTCTAAATCCATTGCGATACGAATGAAATTTATTGCTCTTTCGCATCTCTTTCGCACAATCAGCAATAAATATAATTCTAAGGGATATTTCTAAATTCTTAACAATGTTTAAATTTATTTACATATTTAATATTTACATATCTTTCCTTACTCATAATTTAAAAAAGTTTGCAAAGTAAATAAGAGTTTGGAATTTCAAATCGATACAACTCGAGACGCAGCAAATAAAAGTACATCCTGAGAGAAAGAGTTCTTTCATTCTTTCTACGCCAAGAATTAAATCGCGATAAAGCGAGAAGCGCATTTACAATAGCTCGCAATAAAGCGGATGATTCTTGAGTGGCTCTTCGCTTCTCCTGTCTTAAGCGGTTATCAAATTTGCCTTGCTAATTAAGGTGGATTATACAGCAGGATTATGCCGTCACGGCAGACATTGTCGGGAACAACGTTAGTATACGTTCGACAATAATGCAGGACGTCGTTTTGCCTGCAAATTATTTCCATCGCGCCTCACTATCCGCCAGGAATCGAAGAAAAAGAAAGGATTCGCGCGGCAGAGAACGGCAGAAAAATAATGATAATCTCGTGAAATACCACAAGCGTCGATTGGCAACGGTTGCATTCCGATGCAGCCTCTCTTTCGTTGCCGTTTCATCGCTTCCACGCGTCGAGACGAGCTTAATCAACGAAAAGGATATTCCATCGTTGCTTTCAAGGGACTTCTCTCTATCTCCCTCCGAGCAACAAGTTTCTCAATTACAATCGTGTACGATAAATTACAACAATAAACACGGCCGCAATTCTCAATCACAATCGTAAACGACAAACTACACATGATGAACTGCATATATTTTTTATTTTCTGATTCGCTTCTTAATTTTAACGCTATTATATTCAAAATTAGTGTATATTTAGTTGTATATTGTATACGATAAATTACAACAATAAACACGGCCGCAATTCTCAATCACAATCGTAAACGACAGATTACACATGATTAACTGCGTATCTTTTTTTATTTTCCGATCCGCTTTTTAATTTTAACGCTATTATATTCAAAGTTAGTGTATATTTGGTTGTATATTTACACGATAAATTACAACAATAAACGCGACTGCAATTCTTAATCACAATCGCACACGACAGATTACACATGATTACCTGCGTATCTTCTTTATTTTCCGATCCGCTTTTTAATTTTAACGCTATTATATTCAAAGTTAGTGTATATTTGGTTGTATATTTACACGATAAATTACAACAATAAACGCGACTGCAATTCTTAATCACAATCGCACACGACAGATTACACATGATTAACTGCGTATCTTTTTTATTTTCCGAGTCGCTTCTTAATTTTAACACTATTATATTCAAAGTTAGTGTATATTTGGTTGTATATTGTATACGATAATTTACAACAATAAACACGGCCGCAATTCTCAATTACAATTGTAAACAACAGATTACACATGATTAACTGCGTATCTTTTTTTATTTTCCGATCCGCTTTTTAATTTTAACGCTATTATATTCAAAGTTAGTGTATATTTGGTTGTATATTTACACGATAAATTACAACAATAAACGCGACTGCAATTCTTAATCACAATCGCACACGACAGATTACACATGATTAACTGCGTATCTTTTTTATTTTCCGAGTCGCTTCTTAATTTTAACACTATTATATTCAAAGTTAGTGTATATTTGGTTGTATATTGTATACGATAATTTACAACAATAAACACGGCAGCAATTCTCAATTACAATTGTAAACAACAGATTACACATGATTAACTGCGTATCTTTTTTATTTTCCGATTCGCTTCTTAATTTTAACGCTATTATATTCAAAATTAATGTATATTTGGTGATATATTGTATACGATAAATTATAACAATAAACGCGGCCGCAATTTTCAATCACAATTGTAAACGACAGATTACATATGATTAACTGCATATATTTTTCATTTTCCGATCCGCTTCTTAATTTTAACGCTATTATATTCAAAATTAGTGTATATTTGGTGGTATATTGTATACGATAAATTACAACAATAAACGCGGCCGCAATTTTCAATCACAATCGTAAACGACAGATTACATATGATTAACTGCATATATTTTTCATTTTCCGATCCGCTTCTTAATTTTAACGCTATTATATTCAAAATTAGTGTATATTTGGTGGTATATTGTATACGATAAATTACAATAAACGCGGCCGCAATTTTCAGTCACAATCGTAAACGACAGATTACATATGATTAACTGCATATATTTTTTATTTTCCGATCCGCTTCTTAATTTTAACGCTATTATATTCAAAATTAATGTATATTTGGTGGTATATTGTATACGATAATTTACAACAATAAACACGGCCGCAATTCTCAATTACAATTGTAAACAACAGATTACACATGATTAACTGCGTATCTTTTTTATTTTCCGATTCGCTTCTTAATTTTAACGCTATTATATTCAAAATTAATGTATATTTGGTGGTATATTGTATACGATAAATTATAACAATAAACGCGGCCGCAATTTTCAATCACAATTGTAAACGACAGATTACATATGATTAACTGCATATATTTTTCATTTTCCGATCCGCTTCTTAATTTTAACGCTATTATATTCAAAATTAGTGTATATTTGGTGGTATATTGTATACGATAAATTACAACAATAAACGCGGCCGCAATTTTCAATCACAATCGTAAACGACAGATTACATATGATTAACTGCATATATTTTTCATTTTCCGATCCGCTTCTTAATTTTAACGCTATTATATTCAAAATTAGTGTATATTTGGTGGTATATTGTATACGATAAATTACAATAAACGCGGCCGCAATTTTCAGTCACAATCGTAAACGACAGATTACATATGATTAACTGCATATATTTTTTATTTTCCGATCCGCTTCTTAATTTTAACGCTATTATATTCAAAATTAATGTATATTTGGTGGTATATTGTATACGATAATTTACAACAATAAACACGGCCGCAATTCTCAATTACAATTGTAAACAACAGATTACACATGATTAACTGCGTATCTTTTTTATTTTCCGATTCGCTTCTTAATTTTAACGCTATTATATTCAAAATTAATGTATATTTGGTGGTATATTGTATACGATAAATTACAACAATAAACGCGGCCGCAATTTTCAATCACAATTGTAAACAACAGATTACACATGATTAACTGCGTATCTTTTTTATTTTCCGATTCGCTTCTTAATTTTAACGCTATTATATTCAAAATTAATGTATATTTGGTGGTATATTGTATACGATAAATTACAACAATAAACGCGGCCGCAATTTTCAATCACAATCGTAAACGACAGATTACATATGATTAACTGCATATATTTTTTATTTTCCGATCCGCTTCTTAATTTTAACGCTATTATATTCAAAATTAGTGTATATTTGGTGGTATATTGTATGCGATAAATTACAACAATAAACGCGGCTACATTATTCTTCCTTTGTTCACTCAAGTATCTATAATACGTTTCATAATCGGTGTGGCAAGTATTTTTATATATATGCTTCGTGTAAATTCTTTGTCGGAATTTTTCTGCGTCACGCATGAATGGGAGGTCTCACCCACGATCAAGTGCCATTTATCCACGGAAAGAATGTCGATAGTTTTCGCAACAATAAAGGCGGCATCTTTAAAATAGCTTCCTGATAGCACTCATCGATCAACCTTTCTCCGCACTAAATATTTAATGGAAATCGATGAAAATTTCTATACAATGTCGAATCACTTAAGATACAATTGTAACTGATGACTATCATAAATGGCAAACATTGTAAAAGCGTTTAATCTTTCAAAATATTTAATAATTACGTGAGTTATTTTAATAGATTACATTAATCTTGATTTATTAGAGAAATATTCTATTATCCAATTTTTTCTATCAAGTGAACCTTTCTTTCCAATCAGTCAAAAAATTTCGTTTTACATAAATTAATTACATATCGTTAACTGCTCTTAATTAAAGGCAATTTAATGGAAATGCATACAGCTAGCTTAACGACCGAGTATAAAAAGACGACGTTGGTTC